TTATGAAGAGACTATCTTTAACACCCCCCCACAATATAGGGGTAATGTGATGCCTGAATAACTGATTATCCTAAATTTTCCCTAACTCTGACATCTGGAAAGAGGTGTGGCTGTACAAAATACTGTCTATTGCTAATTCTTTATACAGCTCTAGCACCTCTCACCCTGAAGAACCAGGCCCCTCAAACTCTGGACCGTGACTACCTCCCCATTTCCCCTGTAAGACCACAGTAAATGAGGTCGTCTTAGGGAAGTCCAGCTGTGTGATAGCAGCTGCTGCCTTATGCTCCCCTAAAGGGAAAGTGGGGCCTGTTTTGGGATGTGATGGGACCAACTGGCTGCAAGCTTTGAGTTTTCTCTCAGTGCCCTTCGCTGTTCTTGTAGAAGTGGCTCTGTAGAAGAGTATCCCAAGGGACGCAGCAGCCAAATACAGCCTCTGATGGAGTGAAAATTTGTGTACAATTCAGAGCAACTACCCTTTTACAATAACCTCTAGTAAATAGGAATTGTGGAGAATAAAACATCTAGTTGGGTCTGCAGCAGGATGCATTAGTACCAGTGTTAAAATTTGGCCAAGGAAATGAAGCTCACACCTTTCTGTTGCACACAAATAAACTAATATTTCCAAGGGATCTTTCACAACCAGCATTGGTGGGGATTTATCATGCATAATGTCCAAACCTGAATGCACCTGGCTCTGGTACGGGATCCTTAGTGATTGTTTTTGGGGGTTTGGGTGGGGTTTTTTAATATTCCATTTTCAGCTGGAAATTACTGATGTGACCAAAGTCCGATTCCTTTCAGCAGTTTCTCCCTTCCTCCCCCCACCTTTTCGCACTCCCTGAGGTCTGACCATCTGGAAATCCTCCTCCACCTCTTCATCATGTGTGAATTTCCACCTAGGGCTGAAAGTGTCACTGTACTAAAGTGTGATGCATTAACACATTGAGGCAGAAAGCAGAGGGGAGTTGGGGATTATAACACTTCATGACCCACTCCGCAGTTGCTCTATGATTTAATCATCTTTATCAGCTTGTATCCTTTTCTTTGTATCCCATATTTTCCCTGTATCCTTTATTAAAAAATTTCCATAATTAAAAAGGACCCCGACCCTTTACACAAACAAGTAGAGTGCAGAGTCTTGTATTGAGACCGGGATCAACTGAAAACAGCAAATGTCTCCAGGAAAATAGGCCTCACTTGAGCAGGCTCAGGGCACCTAGATTGCTCTTTCACAATGAAGCTCATTAATTATCCGTGTCTCCTATTGCAGACTTGGGGTTCTTCCTGCCAACTCTCATGCACATGGTCTGAGGAACAGTAATTTTTTTATACATATATATCCGTAAGTATAAAGTATAAGCAGTTATAATGTTATCTTGTTCAGAAATTAAACCAAGTTCTGCAAACTATGTGCTGTGTTGGTTTACTCTTTTGGTAGAGTAGACTGGAAAATTCACAAGTTTGGAAGTCAGCTGCCTAGCCTTCTTCTAACTAAATACTGAGGCTTATTATGCTTCAAATAAATATATATATATATATTTTGTGGCTTGGTTGCTGTAATCATCTTGGATGTAATAATGTTACTAGCCTCAGGGCTATATTTATTAAGATTTTAATTTAAAATCTTTCTGTCCTTCAGCATTTAAACAGAGGAAAACCCCATCTGGAGTAGCCAAAAAAAAAAAAGTTCATCCTTTTCTTTTTCATGCATTCCCCTCCCCTAGGCCCTCTCTCTCATCTTTTAAGCAGAAAAACCTAGAACAATGCACTTTCCTGTTGTAGCTCTGCACCCTCCTAATGCTTCAGTACCTGTGCAGGTTTGGTAGACCCAGTGTCTGCTGAACATGATCCATGTGCTTCTGTTCTTGCTGTCTCTGAACTGGTGGTTTGTTTTCTTATCCTTGTATAATAGTACCAGTATATTTCACAGTAATATTGCCACATATTTTGATTTATTCGTAATAATATTCTCAGTAAGGATCTCAACCACAGCAATAAACATTGTGGGGGCAAGACTTTTACTCAGATATGGCAAAGGGCTGCAGAGAAGTTTCAGGGTTATTCCTTGTTAATAAACTGCCACACTTCTGAGGAGATCGTGGCAGGGAAATAACAGAACAAGAAGACCTGCTTGTAACCTGGAGTGTGAAAAGCTGTCACAGTGTAAGTGCTTTTTCAGGTGTTTTGGAAGAAATGTCAGATGTTAGACTCGCGTTGTATAGAGTTTGCGATCCATTTTATTTTAATTCCACAGCGTATTCAAGTTATTCAAGCACCAGCTTTTAACAGACAGATACTGAGCAGGGCAGAGGGTGATTCAGAAATTTTTGTTAATAACCCTCTCATGTGATTTAGTAGTACTGAAACATCAGCAACGGGTGGTAGCAGAGGACCTTGCTTGTAGCTAATGCCCAAGCAGCAAATGCCTGCAATGGCTAAATAGCACTGGGCAGACTGTGAATCATGCAGGCCAGCTCTCAGCTCCACTGACACTGCTCCTGTTCTGCCCCAGTGGAAGATCCTCGTTGCTTGAACTAAGGGACTTCAGTGCCATTACAGGAGCCCCTTGCTCCTGGCCATAGTAGTGAGTGCATCAGTCAACCATATCAAAATCAGATTTCAAATCTCACTCTGATGTTCTTGTGCAAACAGCCAAATGGAACAACAGTTTTGGTTTAATATAATAAGATTCATGGAAACAAAACTGGGTGATTTAAGTATGAACAGATTGAAAATTACTTCTGACATATAGCACCAAGGCCATGCCGTTTGTGTCAAGCTCCATGCGAAAGATGAATTCTTGTATGCTGCTTTTCTTCATTTCAAAGCAACTTATAGAGGGTTGAATGCTGTCGTCCTCAACTTGCAGCTAGTGAAAATGGGGTGAAGAGGAAGAAATTCAGGCCTAAGCACAGGTCTTCTGGCTGCAGCCTGTCCCACAGGCAGTAGGTGTAGATACTTCCTCTATCTAGATTGTGCTACTTGCTTGTAGAAAAGAAAAGGTAGCTTATGTTCAGGTACTCATCAAGTGCTATTGACTGCCAATCATGAGATGACTCAAGCTTCTGTACTACATTTCTCTCACAGCACTGTAAAGGTACCAGCCATTTTTTTGCTTTGGACCTCCATTCAAAATCGGAGGGAAACCTCTCCATCTTGTCGCCAGTCCCTGATAATCACTACTTTTCTCAGGACAGCTGATTTTAACATTGCTCCATCCTAATGTTCATTTTCTAGATCTAGTAGCTATGTCAATCACAGGTGGATATATAGAAGAAATGCACCTCTGGACTTCTAAACACATTACCTCAGTAAGTACTGTTCAAATTACAAGAAGTCAAGTTTTAACTATTTTGTTTACCACTTAAATGCAGATTTTATTTTTACCCACTTTGCTACTTTGCAAGCCTTTTGGTGTGAACTTAAACAAACATGAAAATCATGTTCTTTAACAGTATGTTAAAAGTGCTTATATGTTAAAAGTGCTCACCACAAAGCAGACACTTCTTTGTTGGGCAACCAGCACAGCTTTTTCATGTTCTCTGTGTGTCCTCACCCGCCCCAACCTATTTAGGTCAATACAAGCAACTTCAGAGGAAGTCACTGCCTGGTTATAATGCTACAGCTTTGGACTGCAGAGGACAGACTGGGCGAGGAAAACAAGAACACTTCTGGGCCATCAACAAGCAGTGGATAGCTTTTGAATATTACATGGGGTATCCACCTGATGGTGTTTGGTCCCTTTGCTTTGGAAGCTGAAGCAGATCACTGAACTCAGCCCGTTTGCCAAAGGGCACGCTGCTTTGTGTGGAGACCTGCCTGAGGCGAGGTACCTGACTCATTGCGTCGGGTGCGAGATTCACCTGTGCTTCATTCCCCACAGCGACCCTGGGAGCTTGGCTGCAAACCTTCCCAGAGCATGGAGGGGTCACTGAAGAAGATCAACCGGCCAACATGTTGCCCATGAAACAACACAAGGTAGCTGAGCTGAAGGGAGCGGGACAACAGCTGTGTTGAAGCAGGTGCAGTGGGAGCAGGAGGCTGAGGCTGTGAGTATATCCCTGCAACCCTGTCCTGCTGTCTTCCCCATGCCCCCATCCTGTCTGACACTTGTGCTGAGAGCTGGCATTCAATAGGTGCTCTTCAAAACCTGTTGAGGGCTCTATTTTACTTCTCTGCGACTCATCTTCCAGATTTTTGTTGTAGCTGCTTTACATGAGGAGTTTCCAGTTTGGTCAGGTCCTTTGTTTCTGCCTGATAAACCCCCTTTTTCCAAGTGCTCTTCAGAGTAGAGCCCTTTCTTTTAGAGAGAGCAAATCTCTGTTAACAGACAGTTTTCAGTTCAAGAAGCATGGGCAGGAGCAAAGGAGCCAGATTAACCTCTTAGTGGGGTTTTTTCATGAGTTAGGTCTACCTCTGCCAGTTCAGAAAACATCTAGGTCACAGAATGGCATTTACCTATTTGATTTTCAATAGGACTTTCCCTTCTACAGAATTATGGTGCTTTTGAAACAGCCACTGTTTTTGTCACAGTCATTTAAGAAGTAATTTTGTGTAGTGAGGAATGAGTCTGATTACAGATACAAAATTTCATCTGAAGCTAAAGAATGTAATGAATACAAATTCCAGATAGAGCACAACGTTCCCAGCCTGCCCGGGTAACTGTGTCTCAGTTTCTCTATATTTCCTGCAAGATGACAATGGCCACCTTGTAAAAAGCTCTTTCAGATATGAGGCAGAAGTATACACTTCAAGGTCTAGCCTTGAAACTTCTGTGGGATAGCAATGCTCTTCTGAAGTGCCATTTAAAACAGATTGCGTTTCACTACGTGCAAAAATCCCCCACATAGATGCAGCTATATGAGCAAAAAAAAAAAAAAAAAAGTGCTTTTGCCAGTATAGCCTATTTTATTTGGAAAACGCTTGCAGAAAAAGATGCTTGTGCTAGTAAAACTTGTATTTGCTGGTTATCAAAGGAGAAGGATTTCTAGTGCAAACCAGGCTTCTTATATGTGAAGCTTTTATTCAGTTCACCCACCAGTACAGTAAAGAAAATCCTTCCTCAAAGGGATTAGTAGGGTTACCTAATAGATATTATTAATGGTTTAGGAGCATAAAAGGTGCTTTAGCAATAGATGAGGGGCTAGATCCTTCACTAATGTAAATTGTTTGTGGTCCCACTGAGGGTATCATGGAAACACAGAATGAGGGAGCTGCTTTGTGCCATCACTGCTCAGTTTCCAGAGCTTCCACCAACTCAGGAAGGTGCAGGGCCACACTAACTGGCCTCTCCAAAAGCGTGACTTCTGCCTCCACCAGAAAAATGTGCACAAGCAAATATCTAGGTTATAGAGGAAGAATTATAGCTAGGAAGACCCTGCTTGAGCAGGGAGGTTGGATCAGATTGTCCTTTCCAACCTTACCCACTCAGTGATTCTGTAGCGGTTTGATCTCTCAGAAACAAGCCGATTCCCACTGGCTGAGGATCTCAGTGTATACTGTTTTCATTATACTAGTAGCTTTTTATAAGCATCAGATTCCAGTCATGAGACTTGATGATTCCACAGAAAATACCCTCCGACGCAGTACTTTCTCACAGCAGGGCTCCCTGGCTAATCGTGTGCTTGCCCGTCAAGCACAAATCCCAGCCATTTCCTTCCCAGTTTTCCCTTGCATTTAATGTATGGAAAAGCATGACCCTGAATCAGATGAATAGCAGCCGGTTTGAGAAGGTGTGTGTGAAAATGTATCCTCACGCAGATGAGCTCAGAACAAATAGAATAGAGGGGAGGAGGGGAGGAGAGTGGAGAGGGGGAGGATGAAGCTACCCTTTCCCTGATAGCTCAGCCACTACGTGTAAGCAACAAGTTTATGCCCAAGGGAAAGAACTGAAAGCTGAGGATATCTTAAAATTAACAGAGCTTTATGGCTCAATCAATAGGCCATGCTCCCTGAGCAAGATTAGAAATCAGATGGCACATTTCGTTCTGTTAACCCTGTTTGCTCTCCCTGAAGGCTCTTCTGCCTGAAAGCATGTGAGGTTTGATTAAGTTCTTCTCTAGGAGGAAGCCAGAGAGAGTCCATTGTGTGAGAACTGCCTCCAGAACACTGTGTTGGACACACTTTAAATAACAATAAAGGTTATTAGTGTATTAGTTTGCTAGTAATTGTGAGAGAAGATAAGTCTTCCCAATATTTGAATATGCAAAATGGCTTTGGCTAACCGAGAAAGGGGGAGGGGGGTGGGAAAGCAAAAGCCAAAACATGCCACTGTAGTGAGTAACAGGGATGATTAAAAATCACCATATGTAAAAAAGAAAACCTCTACCTTATTTTACTACTAGAAATACCTTCTCAGATTTGATATCCCCACGAAACCCATGATATTTTCCCCCTTTGGCATTTTATTCTTATTGGGGCAATGAAACAGTTGTTTCCAAAGGGAGAGGGACTGTGTTTGCACCTATTTCTTGTTTGACAGTGACCTCTATGAACCAGTCATCACTGCTCTGCCTGTTGTTTTCTTGTTAGCTCTTTGCTGTCAAATTAATTACTGTGAAGTACTAAGCTTGTTGCATTCACGTGCTCTTATTAGCTCACAGGATGTCAGAGTGATTGGATTTTTAGCATTATTTCTTTTTTTACATTCCAGGCTTTCCATTCAAAACCTGTTACTGGCAGGGAGGAAATACTGTACCTAATACTGATCTCCCACCAGGGTAGCTCCACTGATGCTGAGGATTTACAAAGCTGTATATGCAATTAGACTTTGTTTATATTAAACCCAACATGAACGATAAGATTGGGATTGCAATTGTGACTTTGAAGCACAGCACTAATTGTCTTTCCTTTTGCAGTACAGAACAAGAAAGAAAATATTTATGATGAGAACCGCATTTGTCCCCTCTATTCTTAAATCACAGTAATGAGCTGATCCTTCAGTTGACCCTCTTTATGCTCCTGTGTTGCTTGTGTGAGTGACAACTAACAGCGCTCACGCTTGTGCAGTCCAGGGAGATATGAGAAGTTTTATTCTTCTCTTCTTCTACAAAATGAAATGAGCAGAAGGGACTTCTTTGATGTTGTGCTTGAAATTTGGGTGTCCTGCATCTGTTCCTTGGAAAAATACCAATCTGGCTCGGTGAAAAAGGTGAAGGTCTTGAGAATTGCTTTCATTCTTGAAAGTAGATTTTTCTCTGCTAAAAAAAAAAAAAAAAAAAAAAAAAAAAGGAAATTAAAAAAAGAAAAGGAAGAAGTAAATGCCATTAGAACGGCCGGCAGCCCTGCTGCCGGGGCCCGCGACGGGCCGAGGGAGGCTCAGCACAAGGTGCTCCTTCGCCCAGCGCAGAGCTCGGGCTCCAGCGCGCTCCACCCGCTGCCCAGCCCCAGCCCCCGCCTCTGCGGGACCCAACACCCGCCGGGATGCTCCGAAACTTCCCCACTGCCCGGTCCTCCGAGCTTCGGCCCGGCCCCTGCCCGTGGTGCCGGCTGCCCCTTATCCCGCTGCCCCTTATCCCGCTGTCGCCTGTGCCGCTGCCCCCCTATCCCGCTACCCCCTTATCCCGCTGTCCCCTGTGCCGCTGTCCCCTTATCCCGCTGTCCCCTGTGCCGCTGTCCTCTATCCCGCTGCCCCTTATCCCGCTGCCCCTTATCCCGCTGTCCTCTATCCCGCTGCCCCTTATCCCGCTGTCCTCTATCCCGCTGTCCCCTGTGCCGCAGCCCCGGTCCCGTCGCGGTGACCCCGCCCGGCCCCGCCGCCGCTGCCCGGCGCGGCCCAGAGGGGGCGCTCTCGGCCCAGGCTTCGCCGGCGGCGCGCGGGCCCCGCGCAGGTGAGGCGCGACCCCGCGGGGGCTGCGCGGATTGAGAGACCCCTCGGGGCCGCGGCCGCCCATGGGCAGCGGTCTTCTTCTCTCTCCCCCCACCCCCCGCCTCGCCCCCCCGTTCCTGGCCGCTCGCCCCCGGGCTGGGCTGCTGGGGGAAGCCGGGTGGGAATCTCTCCTGACCTCTGCGAGGGGGTGTCACAGCCATCTCCTTCGCCTCGGAGCCCCCCGGGGCTGCCCCGCGAAGGAGCGGAGGAAAACCCGCTCCCCGGGCGCGGGCAGGGCCAGCGCTCCCGCCGGCTCCCATCCACGGCTGCGGGAGCGCTGCCGTCCCGTTATTTCCCCTCCCGGCTCCCCTCGGCCGCCGCCCTGGGCACCCCCCGCCCCATCGCTGCCTCCGCCAGGCTCCGCGTCCCTCCTGCCCCACGGAAAACACACACAGTCCCCGGCACCCGCCCCGATTACCCGGCCCATTCAAACAAACAAACAGAAACCCGCCCCGTCGCAAAGCCAACCCGACGGTAAACTTTCTAATGACTTCTTCTTTCAAGTGCTTAAAAGGCAAGGAACACCGCGGGGGGCGGGGGGAAGAGGGGGGTATCCATCTCCCGGCCGGGGCGGGAGGGGGGCCGGAGCTGCCGCCACTCGCAGTCCGTCTGTCCATCAGTCCTGCCGGACGACGGGACAGGAACGCGAGCCGGTGTGCGGTGGGTGTGTTTGCAGGAACCGGGAGGGAGGGAGGGGACGGGGGGGAGTTAAAGAAACAGCATAGTTAATATTTCCACATCAGGAAGTTACTGTAATAGCCCAGGGGGCAAAAGACTTAACTTAATCTCCTAAATAGTGAGGAACCCATGGCGTCTCTGTTATAGGTTGGAGTTCCCACGTGGTTTTAACTCCTGTATAAAAGTTTCAGTAGAAAGTGCCACAATGTCGTGATTTTGCAGGGGGGAAAAATTTGAAGGAGGAGATCAGAGGAAGATAAGGGAAGGAGCAAGCAGCTTCCCGGAGACCTTTCACTGCGGATCCGAGAGGGAACATCAGAAGCGTTAAAAAAGAAAAAACAAAAACAAAAACCAAAAAACCAAACAAAACAAAAAACCCCAAACAAAACAAAACACAGCGTTCAAGCCAGCACAAGGCGAGCGAAAGATCAAAAAGACGCAGAGAGGGAGACAGATTAACTGGAGAAGCAGCAGAAGCAACAACAACAAAAATCACACTTAAAATAATAATAACAATAATAATAATAAAACCCAAACCACCAACAAGGGAGATATTGTTTAAAAAGAGCGAGCGAGGGAGCGAGCCGAAGAGCTGGTCTGACCGAGTGGATCCGTGCAGCTTCTCCTGGGATCGCCGGGATCGCGCCGCTTCCCCGCTCCGCGCCACGCAGCGTGCGGTGCCCTGCCCGCTGCGGGGGTCCCCGGGCGCCGCCGCCGCATCCGCGCCGGACTCCGGACCCTCCGCGCTGCTTTGAAAAATAAAAGCACCTCGCTAATAATAAGCGGGGCGGTGGGGGGAGAAGACTCGCAACAGTGGAGCTGCCAGCCGCGCACCCCCTCCCCGCCGCCCCCGACTGCCTCCCCAGCTATGCTCCGGGTCAACTTTGATGGCACGTTGAGAAGCAGCGGGCGCTGAAGGGGGACAACCGAGCGGCGCGGAGCCGACCTGCTCAGAGACCTGCACCCACGGATTGTCTTGCGGGGGCGGAGTGGGCGGGGGGGTACAAGTGGCATTTCTCACCCCCCCCCCTTCCAGGCTATAAATTGGATTGTATATAAATCTGCTTCGTTTATCTCCCTGACCCCCCTCAATGACGCTGGACTAGAGAGCTCCTCTCCGCGGCCCGCCCGGACCTGCCGAAGCGAGCGATGGACCACGAGCGACTGCGCGCGGGGATGCCCCTCTGAAGCGACGCGGGGCACCGGGGCAGCGCGGCGCCGCCTCTCCCCTGCTCCCCGGATCCCCTCGCACCTCCGGCTCGCTCCCCGCTCCCCCTCCCTCCTCCCCGGGCTCCGCAGCCACCCCCTCACCTGCTGCCGTCCCCCTCCCCCGTGGAGCCGGGCTCTCCGTGCACGCCAAGCCTGGTGCCCCCCTCCCTCCCCAACTTCGCCCTCGGTGCCTGCGCGTGCAGCCTCCCCCTCCGCCTCCCCGGCGGCACACGCCGCTTCCCCGGGCGCCCCCTCCCTCCGCCGCGGCTCCCCCCCTGCGCGGAGCGGTTGCGGCCCCCCAGCTTGGCTGCCACCGCCCCCTCCGCGCCGCGGAGCGCTCGGAGCGGCGCTGCCTGCAGACGGGCTCCCTGCGGCGCTCCGGGGCGGCCCCCAGCTCGGCCCCCCGCTCCTCCGCCATGGACGGGGCGGCTCGCCGGGGGGTGCTGGCCGCGCTGCTGGCCTGCGGGCTGCTCCTGCTGGGCGCCGCGGCCACCCCGACCCCGCCGGCCCCCGCCGGCGGCTCCCCGCAGGACACATGCACCTCCTGCGGCTTCCGGCGGCCCGAGGAGCCGGGCAAGGTGGACGGGGATTTCCTGGAGGCGGTGAAGAGGCACATCCTGAGCCGGCTGCAGATGCGGGACCGGCCCAACATCACCCACGCCGTGCCCAAGGCGGCCATGGTCACGGCGCTGCGCAAGCTGCACGCCGGCAAGGTGCGGGAGGACGGCCGCGTGGAGATCCCTAGCCTGGACGGGCAGGCGAGCGCCGGGCCCCCGGCCCACGACCCGGTCTCCGAGATCATCAGCTTCGCCGAGACAGGTGGGCGCCGCCCGGCCGCGCGCCCCCGCCGCCCGCGTCCCCCTGCCCGACCCGCCGCGGCCCCTGCCCTGCCGCGCTCCCCGCCTGTCCTGCTTCGCCCCGTCTGTCATTCTCCCTGCTCGACCCCTGTCAGTCCCCCTGCTTGACCCCTGTCAGTCCTCCCGCTCGTCCTGCCTGTCCTCCTGCCCACCTTCTCTTTCCGCCTGCCTGACCCCTGGCAGTTCCCCGACCGCCCTTGCCTGGCCCGCTGCGTACCCTGCGTGTCCTCCTGCCTGTCGTCCTGCCTGCTACAGGAACCCGGCTGCCGAGCTCACCCGCTTGCCCTCCGACTCATCCTCTCTCCCCTCTGCCCCGCATCATTCCTCTCTGACCCTGCCGGTGCCTTCCCGTCCTCCGTGCTTGTGCCCCTGTGCCCGGAATTCTCCCCGGGTTGTGCCCTGGAACTCCCCTCGCTTGTTTCTCCATCCCTCCGCAGCCTCTGTACCCCCGGCTCTCCTCCGGCGGTCCTTCCAGCTGCACCGGGGCTTGTCTCGGTCCCTGCGTGTCCCACTGTCCCTTCTCCACCTGTCCCACTCCATCTCTTGCATCCCTTGCCTCCTCTGTCTGCCCTGCACGTTCATCTGGTTCACTGCCTGCATCTGTCTGTTGACGCTTGCATTCACCGTCCTCCCTTTCTATTTGTTTCTCATTTATTTAGCTTTTATTTGCAGTGTTGGCCTTGTCTGTTTGTCCACTGTGTGCAGTGTCCTACCAAGTGTGTCTGTCTCCCCTCTGTCCATCAGTCCGTTTACTAACAATGCTCTCCATCCCCCTGGTACCAGCCATCTCAGTCCTGTCCAACCACTGCAGTTATGTGTCACTGAATCCCTTCGGCATAGCTTTCCAGTAGTTTAACCACTGTTCCTGTGAACTTTGCACATCTGGCTGTAACACCATCACTCTGCAAATTACCTCTCTTCTGTCTATCTGCCCATCTCTCCTTTCCTTCATCGCTCTATCGCTCAGTTCATTTTTCTCTCTCTCTTATCTTTCTGTGGCATCTATATATCATTTGTCCACAAAATAAATCTCTTTCTATCCTGTATGTTGCCCACTCATCTTCTTTATCTACCCTCCCACTTACCAAAGGCATATACGTTTACAGTATCTATGGGATCTGTTGCATTATACATATGCTTGTTATATTCACATACAAAATTTATGAGCGCACACAATCTCACACAACACAAGTGATGTGGATCGGTGCAGCAACACCGTACTGTTCTTTTTCTGTCACTGCCACCACAGTTTATGAAGAAGTTGTGTATTTACTAACACGCGAAAGGCTTTCTCAGTGTACATTTAAGGGCTTATTATTTTTTAATAGGCTGTTGTTGGGAGATCTGGGGTGGGCTTGTACTTCCATTTGGTATTCAGTCAATCGCTGTCTTTTGTAACACTTCCGAAATTGACTTTATGTAAAACGTAGACAAACACAGTGAAAATTTTTGTCACTGAACTATTACAAGGTACTGAATGGGCTCTGGAGACACATTTGAAAGGCATCTAGGGTAACAAATGAAGACACCGACTACGCAAAAAATCCCATTCAGAGATTGACAAAAATGCTAAAGATTCTTGGGAAAAGGAAGAAAAGTCTGCATTTGGCTCTGTACAGAGGAAAGTAAAACAGATAAGGGCAGATGAGAAAATGCCTTTCCAGCAATAATTTTAAGCAGCGATTGGGATGCTTTGATTCAGGGACCAGAATTACAGTCTCCGCCATAAAGGCCAGCTTGCACATTTATCACCTACGCCAAATTTAGTTAGGACTTGTAGTACAAAATTGCAGGAGGGCCACTGGTATTTCTGAAACATTTCATGCAGCAGGCTCTTCTGTTTACAAATAAGGGGTTATGTCAGACATTTGGTGACATTTGGTTTTCTGTGACAATTTCTCTCCTTTAATTCTGGTGTTACTGAAAAGCGAATTGAGAACAGCCAATAACAGCGTTACAGCGGGAACAACCGCTTCATTGCCTCTCCTCATATGGGAGTTTATCATTTCAGGGAGAAAAGGCAGAGATTGAAATGATTAATAATAGCAGATATTCTACCAGACTTTAGTGGGGGTTAGCTTGATATGTTGGACAAGCCGGCACATTACTGAAATATTTTCCCTTCTGTCTCGTGAATCCTTTCCTTTAAAACCGCAGCGAGAATATGTGCAAATCGAAACAAAATCCCTGGTTTGGCATTGGCGTTTCAGTGATTATTGAAAGAGCTCTCCCCGTGAGAATTGGCAGGTAGCTGAAAGTTAAAACTATTCTTAAACTGACGAGATAGCAGAGTCCTAGTGCTGGTCTTTTTCAAGGTGCTACTGTAGCATCTTTAAAGCTGGCTGGCCAGAAAAAAACACATACTCTGGAGAGCTCTGAGAGATCTGACACATCCGACTACAGCCCGATGCTGAAGGTTGCTGTGGGAAGTCCCCTTTTCAATTAATTTTGACTGCAAATTGGGGCTATTTGATGCAGTGCATGCCTTCTGGCTGGCACAGCCCCGTCGCCATTCTCTCGATCTGCTGTGCTCTAGTGTTGTCCCTGAATCCAGAAAGGCACACAAGCTAATGTTTCCTTTTTGACTTAATCTTGCTGATCTCTCCTTATCTTGCAGACGATCTGGCCTCATCTAGAGTCCGCCTCTATTTCTTCATCTCGAATGAAGGGAACCAGAACTTGTTTGTCGTTCAAGCCAGCCTGTGGCTTTACTTGAAGCTGCTTCCATATGTCTTAGAGAAAGGCAGCAGGCGAAAAGTAAGAGTCAAAGTCTATTTCCAAGACCCGGACACTAGCAACAAGTGGAATGTGGTTGAAAAGAAAGTTGATCTCAAAAGAAGTGGTTGGCACACTTTTCCCATGACAGAGGCGATCCAGGCTCTGTTTGAGAGAGGAGAAAGGAGACTGAACTTGGATGTTCAATGTGAGGGCTGTGAAGAGTATTCAGTGCTGCCAATTTATGTGGACCCCGGGGAGGAATCCCACCGGCCTTTTTTAGTGGTGCAAGCCCGCCTCGCCGATAACAAACACAGGATCCGGAAAAGAGGCCTGGAGTGCGATGGCAGGACCAATCTATGTTGCAGGCAACAGTTTTACATTGACTTTAGACTCATTGGGTGGAATGACTGGATCATAGCACCATCAGGTTACTATGGGAATTACTGTGAAGGGAGCTGCCCGGCCTACTTGGCTGGTGTCCCGGGGTCGGCTTCCTCCTTTCACACCGCTGTCGTGAATCAGTACCGAATGCGGGGGCTGAACCCGGGCACCGTGAACTCCTGTTGCATTCCAACCAAACTTAGCACAATGTCAATGCTGTACTTTGATGATGAATACAACATTGTGAAAAGGGACGTTCCCAATATGATTGTGGAAGAATGTGGTTGTGCTTGATTTAAGGTGTGTTTTGGGGGGGGAGAGAGAGAGAGGGGGAGAGAGAGAGAGAAACATTCCCGTACAAGATGGTGTTGGAGGAAGTTTCACTGTGTATCCAGGCATCAGTGTTGGAAAGTCACTGTGGAAAAGTTTGACAAAAAAAAAAAGAAAAAAAAGAGAAAAAAATAATCATTTCACTTTGGTGTCAGGACAGTGGCAGTTTGTGAATCATGGACACTTATATATTCTACCACTTATAAGTTAATGCTATGAAATATCTTAAAGACACACACACACACGAAATGTGGGCACGCACACAAACACGCGCTCATACACACAGACACAGACACACACAAACACACACACACTCACACGAGGCAGCTCGGAAAAGGGACATGAGCACAGAAAGTCAGTGACCAGTGACGACGGACCTAAATGCCTGCCAGTACGAGTGAACGGCTGAGCAGCTGTTTCCCCGCCTGCCGGCGAAGCCAGACCGAAATGAGCTCCCTTTGCTCAGGCAAAAGCACGGACTGTGAGAACACAATGTATTCTTGCACGCAGGTGTCGAAATGACCAAACTTAGAAAATTAAAAAAAAAAAAAATAGAAAAAAAAAAAAAAGGAAAAAGTTGACTGTCACCTCTTAGGTCTAACGGGAAGCTGCAGGACACCTACCTTGGGAGGCAATCACTTCCTCTTAAATTTATCTAAACATAAACATCACAGATACCCGCATCTTCCTACAGCACTTCCTGCGAGGAATTGTGTGGTTCCATCGGAGAGAGAAAAGGAGACAGACGTGTAAGCAACTGCTGTATTTCTAACACCTGGCCGTGTCAAAGTCACGAGCTGGGCTGGCGTGATCCGATGCTTTCACTGCCCACTAGCAATCCGTGGCTGGCTACACCTGCCGTGTCTTGGAAAAGGGAATCAATACCGTATCTGGACTGTGTTGACTGTTGGCATCTCTCACTGTTTGAAGAACAAAAAGTCGAAGTTGCAATCTGTGTTCTTCAATGGGGGACTCGGCAAGGCCATGTCACATGGGGGGCGAGCAATCGCCACCACGGTTAAACCAATGAACCCTAAAGAGGAGTGACGGCGACAGAGTGGAGACGTTCTGAGAAATGCAGTGCATTTAATAACAGGCGAGGAACATTTTTACAAGTCTTAGAAAGGAGGAGAGAGGAGAATGCTTTCAATTTCCTTACCAGGAGGTGTCAAGGATGGCCATAAAGATCAGAAAATAATGATACAGCATAGCACTTGCAAACTGCTTGAATGCACGTATAATAGCACTTGCAAATTTCAATGCCTTGAAAAGTGGTACTTGATAGTGCACTTATCTTTGCTCACTATCTAGGTAAACAGGTGCCGCATGAGCTATGCAATTTAAAGTGTTGACCCATACTAGACAAAACTGGACTTATGATATGACTTTTTTATATTTTTTTATACTTGAAATTAAATCTTTTGCTTCTTTTTTAAAGCGAATGATTGCTTTTAATGTTTGCACTGATTTAGTTGCATGATTAGTCAAAAAACTGCCATTTGAAAAAAAATGTTATTTTTATAGCAGCAAAAAATGAATACAGTTAAATGTATTATACATAAATTTTGGAACCAAAGAGGCCAACATATTAGTTATAATTTTTATGAGATGGCAAAGCCATCATATATCATGTAGTCATACTGAGCAATCCCTCACGAGGCCTACCAATTGTTTCAGGGTACAAAATGGATTCTGTTTGTTCTATTCAGTGTCTTTTCTATACCATACGCACATGGAATGTAGAGTGAAAAAGAAAGTGACTATTGTAGAATACATTACAATATGTGCATCCTTTAAATCCAATTTTTATGTTTATTTAATAAAGTTCCTTTTAGGTTCTGTT